CAGCTCTTGAATTTGGTTGGCCTTTGCGACGATGAGAAAAAACACGAAAAGGTGGAGGATCAGGAAGAGAAGGGAGCTGAACCAGTTTCTCCTCATGCCTACACTCCCCCTGAGGAGAAACAGGAAAAAAAGGCTCGTCTTCAAAGAAAGAAACATCCATGGAGACATAGAATTTCCGAGAAATAGGATCAAAACAACGGTACCCCTTTTGAGTGAAGGAGTAACCAAGAAATATGCAAGGGRTAGCACGAGAATCCAATTTCCCACGGGTGGGAGACAGATTTTGAACAAAACACCGACAACCAAATACACGAGGAGGAATAGAAAGAAGGGGAGCCTTAGGAAAGAGAAGCTGACATGGGGCTTTGTACTCTAACCAACGAGAGGGCATACGGTTTATAAGGTAAGTAGAACAAAGAATAGCTTCAAGCCAAAAACGTTTGGGGACATTCATATGAAGTAGTAAACCTCGAGCCACTTCAAGGAGATGTCGGTTCTTTCGTTCGGCCACACCATTTTGTTGTGGTGTGCGGGCACAAGAGCTCCGGTGAAGTGAACCACGCGAAGCAAAGAACTCCGTGAGGTCACTATGAAAAAATTCTTTTGCATTGTCTGACTGAAAAATTTGAATTTCAGTCTGAAATTGAGTGAAGACCATCCGCTGGAAATCTTGAATGATTTTTGGTACTTCTTCCCTGGTTCGCATCGGATATACCCAAGTATATCTAGAATAATCATCAATGAGGGTAATGAAATACTTGTAGCCACTCTCAGATGGTAAAGTAACAGGGCCCCATACATCAGAATGAAYAATGTGAAAAGGAGATTCAGATTTACTATTTTTCTAAAGAAAATGAGTTCTACAATGTTTACTTAATTGACAAGAAAAATCAGAAACAAACATTGACTTAAACAGATATGGGAATATAACTTTCAAAGACTCAAAAGACAAATGACCAAGACGACAATGCCATAAATAGACTTTACTCTTACAGGACTGACTCATAGACTCTGTAACATGAAGACCGGCCTTATTCTCTAGCATGTAAAGTCCATCAACCATACGTCCCTTGCCAATCGTCCTCTCCGAGGCCAGTCCTGAATCACACAATGAGAAGGGAAAAAAAGTCACTGAGCAATTCAAGGAATTAGTAACACTACTAACAGAGAACAAATTAATGGGAAATTTTGGAACATGAAGGAC